AACATGTCTAACCTTTCAGAGCAAGTTTAAGCTTAAAATAAACTCGTTTGATGAATTCCTCCCTCCTCAATGAATGATGATAGAATTGTATGTCTCGCCTGGCAACAACCATCTTCATGACTGGTAGTCGATCTGTAAAAAGGAGAAACTCATAAAAACAAATTTATTCCTTACAAATCAACTATAGAAAATTAACCTGATGCTCGCTAGTGACTTCCTACAGGACGGAGTTTCCTGGAGTTGTAGTGAGAATTTGTGAGGTCTGCATCCACTTGTCAAATGTGAGGATGAATCTCCTGTCACGATGAGATTGGTCTGTGCCAGTCGCGGTAAATGCATCACTAATTGGTAGAAGTTAGAATTCATGGATTGGCTGGCTGGTTGGCCATTAGATTGGAGAGTCCCGAAGAGTGGCTGAATGGTATACGAGCTAGCTTGCCTTGTAACCGGAAGGTGCTAGGTTCGAACCCCACTGTGGTGGGTGGGTGCGTGCTGCCGATGATTCCCAAACTAGGCTGATGAAACAGCTGTCTGGTAGTACTCCTCCAATTGGTTTTCAATGGTTCTTTAACCAATATCTATCCGTGGTAAAATTCGTAAAATCAAATTAAATCCCTACAAACCAACTCTTGAAAAGAAGAAATGAACGATAAGGCAGACAAACGCTTTGTAGGTACATCTATTTGGTATACCATATGTTCAGTGCTTTATTTGCAAATCATTTGCAAATTGGCCGAATATCACTATATTCGATAGCTTCTTGTGGGATTCTGCACAGTGTTTCTAACGTTCTCTTCACAGTTCTGTTCTTCGTTTGCTGTTCATCCAGTGTCCGAAACATACTGTTGCTTTTCTGAATTCGCTTACTGATATACTACTTATATCTGACTATAAGTAGCATTCACCACACTCACCGCCTCATTATGAAGTCTTTCCTGTAACCGCCTTGACCGCTGCACAGAGGTTCCAGCCCGCCTTTCTTCAGGTTTCTTATCTTGACACATTTGTATGCATCTTTTGAGCTGACTGGTGTTTACCCTTCTTTTATCTCTTGCCTTTATTGCGCCCACTGGACCACGTCTAAATGTGACCATATATGGTCCCTTACACTTTGGTTCTCTACATTTCACCTAGTCGACTACTTCAAACGGCTTCCAAGCCTTGATTTGTTTCTTGTCAGCTTTCTCGATATCTGCCTTTTGCTTCTCTTGTATGCGCTGAATAGCTGGTTTCTGCTCACTCGTGCATCTCAAACTTACAGATTTACATCTGTATTGGTCATTTTCTTCATTGAATTTGAATTTGAATTTTCTACTCATGTCAAGTGAATAACATTTAATCAGTTGACAAATTTGGTCTGTATTAATAAACGTGTGTTTGTTAATCGATGGCTGATTCACTTGATTACGAACCAGGCTGGCTTCTAAGAATTCTCTGGAAGTGTGTTCAGTATTCCCTCTATTTCAAATTTCGATATTATCCCACCAATCACTGAATCGGTGTCCATAATTATCTACATGCATTGATTGGTATGAAAGAAAATATACATCATGTCAGTTAACAGCTAATTTGTGGTGTTCTTCGATTCTGATTCGAAGCGGACGGCCACTTTGTTGACCGATGTAATGCTTATTGCGGTTCATACATGCAATTTATTTTGTACATGGTATTAATTTGATCTACTTCTTTTTCTGTTGGATTACTCTTTCGGTTTGCACAATATCGAATGGAGTGATTGTGCTTGCTTGCTTGCTTGCTGGCTGGCTGGCTGGCTTGTGTGATATATCTGTTTCGAACGGTCTTAATATTCTAGCTGTTATTTCAGTGATATATGGAAGGCTGAATCTTCTGGCACTTTCTGATGATGGTTTGTTGCATTGGTATTGTAAACAACTTATCGCTTTTGTGATGTAAATCGCAGACAAGTGTTCAGCTCTTTTTTTGTAGAACTGATTCCCTGTATGATTGGATTAACGCTTTTCTGAGAGCCGCATGAACTCGAGACAATCCGATTTCTTGACTAGATATTTCCATGGATTGGTAATACATATTACTGAATTCATCACTTCCATGCGAACTGTGAAATCCGACAATGACTGTTCTTCATTAAAGACTGCAAGGATTCAGGTCACTTGACTGAATGGGTGGTGTACAACGCCAAACACAAACTAAGCCTGCGTCAGTTGTTTAAATCATTGTATTCTGGCTGGTATTCGACTACTTATATGTTTACCCCTTAACTTCAACGCCGCACCATTTGCACAGATAGATCTTCCGTGTTGTGCCTGCTACTTCTCGCCTTCCTCCTTCATACTGTGTGCTTCCTTGTGTGTGTTTACTCCTTTCACTCACGTCTCCTCCGTGTATCTCCTCAAGCGACGCTGTATCGTTTACCCTCTCTGGCATCAAATGTATCTATTCCGGCTATTTGATGTTGTTTTCTGCTGGCTGATGAACGTCTCTTCATATACTACTACTACTATTACTTATAAATCAAATCAGTAGCACTCTCCACAGCATCAGTGGTAGTAGTAGTAATTGAGGTTATATGCATATATATTTAACAAAAAAGTATATATATATATCAGCCTAATAATGCCATATTGTTTAAAAAAGAATCATTATCTTTCGTTGATTGTTGATAAAATCTATGCAAATTAAGAACTACATTAACCACAAAAGCAAAAAAACATGAAACAAGGGCAGAGAGAGAGAGTTGATCTCATGCCTGTTATAAATAGCATGGCTAATTAAAAATGGAAATATATATATGTATATATACACGAAGAGGAGATTGAATTTTGTGAGCCTGAAGACAAATGTGATGTTTCATGATTTGAGTAACAGTAATGCCACTAATAACAATTATGACGATTTGAAACAAGTTGGTGAATATGGCTACAGGATTTAACACGTTAAAACAGGGCTGAGAAGAAGAGTAGATTGATTCAGCTGTTGTAGAAACCGATTACGCATGCACACGTTCACACTGTATATATTCTATAACAAAAAATGTGAATAAAGAAAGGTTGGAAGGCACCGATTTTGTTGAATGAACAGTTTTACTATTACCAAACATGACAAACAACCTACATTTATCATATCATGAAACGATAGAAGACGAAAGACTTGGTGAAAGGAATGTTTATTTGTAAGCTATTAATTGTAGGGTAGAGCAGGTTGAACGAAGTTGTGTGAGGACAGTTACTCGTGGAAGAAGACATTGCGATATTTCAGTCGCACTATAACGTGCATGAATATGGAAGAAGTTTGAATTCATTGGCTTGCTGCCTGGCTGGCTGGCCATTGGATCGTGTCTCAGTGAGTGAGTGCCTAATTAATGGTTTACGAGCTAGCTTGCTCTCTGCACTTGTAATCAGAAGGTCGTCCTGGGTTAGAACTCAAGCGGTTGGATGGGTCTTCGTGTTCTGCTGAAGAGCCAGTCCGAAGCTCTACGTTGGAGGAAGCAGCTGGCTGTCTGACAGTACTCCCTGTGGCTTGTTTTCGAATTGTTTTCTAGCCACCAACTTATGCCGTTGCTCATGATGAAATCACACTTACTCCATTATTGATTAACATTTCGTGTTCCATCTGCCTCTACTCTTTGATTACGCTAATATTATTTATGATCATTTGAAGGGACAGAAACTTCGTAGAAATGATAATTTCTGAAGCTTCTAATTAATATTTTATTGGACTGTATATACTTCAAGTTGTGTGCGTCGGTAGCACAGCGGTAGAATGATCGCTGCCAACCACCCACCCCTATACCTCGCTTGCTAAGCCAGTAATAATAAGACTGGTAAAGAGGGAAGGTTGGGGGTAGACATGAGGCTAGAAGCAACCGCATTTCGTAAAAAAATAAAACACCACTGCTATTGAAGCTGTAAGCCTCTCTTGCTTGAAGGTGCCCTATGCTTGTTCCACACTGGGGAAACGTAAAGGAATTAAAATTGACCACAAGTTTTAGGGTAAACATTTTCGTCTTGGAATAACCCAAAAACGGCAACAGGAATCAGTAGACACAGGAATAAGACATTTGTTTTTTTATTTTCGCTTGTTTCCCTGAATACTGTCCTTCGGCATAGTGTTTTTGATGATAGTCAAAGATAGAGGAAAGATATTGTTTCTCTTGAATTTTTATGCATTAGTGAAATATCCAGTTTCAAAGTTTGGTTCTTGTTTGGATTTTGTCTGATTGGTTGGAGGAGTTGACACCATTTGGAGAACCATTGGAAAAGTTGTAGGGAGTCCTGTCAGGCAGTCGTTTCCTCCGTCCCAGTGTTTGCGACTGACTTCTCAGCAGTACAAATCCAGCCATCCCACTGGGGTTCGAACCGTAGACCTTCCGCTTACAAGGCGAGTGAGCTCATGAACCGTTAAGCAGCCACTCACTCGCCGGGACCAGATCTAATGACCAGCCAGCCAACCAGTCCATGAATTCTAACTTCTTCCAATTCACGCATGACAGTGGGACCACTTCGTAATGTCTGCTTCGATGAGCTTGTGCCTCACACCTTTGACCTGCTGCAATCTGCTAGTCATTGAAAAAGACATTACGAAGTGGTTGAGCTATATCCTGAATGAATTAGCGGAAGTTGGAATTCATAGGCTGGTTGGCTGGCCATTGGATCGGGTCCCAGTGAATGGCTACTCAACGGTCTATGAGCTAGCTTGCTCGGTGGCCTTCTAACCAGAAGGTGATCCTGGGTTCGAACCGAGGTCATGTGGTGGTTGCGTACTGTTGTAGAGCTAGTGCCAAGCACTGGGTTAAAGGAAACAGCTGGCTGCCTGGCAGTACTTCCAGCGGCTGGTTTTCCAATGGTTTTCTAACCACCAACCGATGTCAGTGCTCATGATGAAATCCTCCAACCAACCAATCAGACAAACAAAATCCCTACAAAACCAATACTTGAGATATTCTCTCTTCGTATATATAGGGGTTTTATTACGTCTTAAACTAATTACCTTGGTTTCTTTGTTTTTTTCTTTTACTCTAGATTCGAGACTTTTGTGAGCTTCAAAAAGTGAGTTCCCCATATCTTTTAATCTCTATAATGGTACATGTGTACTCATGGTCTCATGTGTACTAGATTTCAGTCGAAGTTAATTATTATTATTCATTCGTTCACAGTTCCGAATGGAATATAGACAGGCCTTTGGCCGGAAAATCTCCTGATTCTCTGACATTGATTTTAACTTGCTCCATAACTGACTACCGTTGATAGTGGTTGGTGCTTATTGTTGTATGTAAGGTGTGCTTTGACTGGACACTATTCAGTAACTAGTGTCGTATGTCTGGCTAGTCCTTTGTTTGCTGCAGACTGAATTCTATCAGTCAGCCAAGTTTGCAATGTGGCCACCTTGTCACTGGGTGGCTGGCTCGCCATCACGTTGCACACTGATTTGATGGTGGCCACATTGCAAACTTGACTGACTGGTAGAATTCAGTCTGCACCAAACAAAGGACCAGACACACAACTAGTGTCCAATCAAAATATCCAATACAGTCAGTCTTACATGGGGTCATTCACGAGCCCGAATAGCTGCTCAGTGGTGGTAACGTCTCTGACTCTCTTCAGTACTCACTGGGTGGTGACCCTGGTTTGAATCTCAGTAGGAGGGACATGACTTTTTCCCTCAATTTGGTTGCAGATACATACGCCTTTCTGAGTGACTGACTGACTGGTGAGTGTCAACTAGAATGAAACCTAGATCTAGACAAGGCTTCCTATGGCTGATTGCTTCTAAGCAACTAATATCAATAAAAGTAGAAGGCATCACAAAGGCAATGAATGGATATCTATTTCTTGATGGATACAAAAGTTTCAGCTAGCCGCCGCTTGGCTGTAGGATGGATGGTAAGACAGTTGAGACATATCCAGAACAAGGAGGTAGACGAGGAGTACCAAGTCAGTTTCGTGAATCTTCAGAGGACCATAAAGTTCTAATTCTTTCATAAAGTTCTTCACGAATCAAATGATTGTGACCCTTATTCTTTTTAAAGTTTCTGTAAGTGTTGCCTTTCGATGAATTCTGTTCTGGTTCTCACATTAGAAGGTTTAGAGAATTTGTTGCTGTCGGAAAGTAGATGTAGATATGATGGAGAAGATTTGTAGCTCTCATCTGGATGATTTTGATGCAGTTGTGTGTTCTCTGGGATGGCTAGCTAACTGGATAGATGGATGGTTTACTTGCGAAGCTTTCACTATTTCCCTCCTCCTAATAGGCAGGCAACATCTTCAGCGCGCATACTTCACTTCAAATTGAATTGAAGTCAGCTTTCAGATTTCTCCACGAGTTTATTACTCATCTCTCCTAGTGTATGGTGAACTTGAACGTCGTGGTTGGTTGTTTTGTGTGTGTCTTCACACCCTTCAGGCTACTTATTGGTATTGGTATTGGTGTTGATTGTTTCTTTGACCTCAAGTTTCATCTTTTGTGGTTCAGATTTACTCCTTATCGACCGGTAAATTTTGTCTGTGTCAATGTGTCTTATATTAATGGACGATTCACTGAAATATTAAGAAGGCTTCTGAAAATTCTCTGGCATTCTTGGTGTTGTTTCCTCTGTCTAATATTGTTTCAACGCTGGTTGTTCCAGTCGAATTGATATCCTCCGTGTTGTTGTCTGTATGCAGTGAGGAGATATGAGTGAGTGAGTGAGGGAGTGGATGTCATGTTTTTTGACGGGTAGTTTCTATTCGTGCATACGAAGACGAAGTGGAGGAAGGGTGTCCACTTTGACCAATGTAGCGTTTCTTATTTTGTAGATGATGATGTGTTATTTTATCTTTTTTCTTTGTTCAGTTTGTCTTTTGGTTGGCACATAGAGCCAGCTGAGTGAAGTGGTTTTGTTGGTTTGTGTGAGGCATCAATTCCTCCTCAAGTTTTGAAGAGTGTTGCAGTGATCTATTTCAGAGATGTCGTCGTTTATATATGTGATGTGTGATGTGACATTTTGACTGCACAACCTTTACTATCCAGGATAACAGCAATTTCAACCTTGTCCAGGGCATATTAATAGAGTATGCCTTCACTGTATTTCAACTGTTTTTAGAGCTCTTCCTTTTCATATATATATTTCTTTAGTTCCTAGATGAAAATTAGGCTTCAGGCGAACGGCTCCATAGCCCTCTGGGTTCTCCGCCAACGTTTTCTCACCTTGCTCCACGTCTTTCCATATGCTTTTATCTCTTCTTCAAATCACCTCCTCCTCTTCTTCCGCCTCCATGTCACGCTCACAATGACGACCAATTAACTCACCATTCCATTCTGGTTCCACTCAACAAAGAAAAAGAGAGAGAACCTGGCGTGTGACGTCACTACTCAATTGATGGTTTGTTTCCTCAGAGTATGGCCACAATCTAATCCACCAACATTTCTTTCTTCAAATTTATTGCACAGAATTGGTTCCTTCTGGGTTGGGTTGGTTCGTTCATTGCCAGAGATCCCCGTTGATGTTTTCTGGCCGGCCATCTGATCTTGAGCGAGCGAAGTATTGGGCTAAGACAGCTGCTGATGAAGGTGTGTAGTTCTTTCGAAGTGGCCTTCGTGACGTGGCGTGGCGTGGTGTCAAGTCTCTGATCCGTGTATAGTAATAGTGACTTCACATTGGAGTTGAAAATCCACGTCTCATTTTTCATGCTGAGGAGTTCTGTTCATCTCCACACAGACTTGATGGGAGAAAAGAAAGCTTGCCTTCCCGATCCTCTCGCTTTGATTGTATTCTCATTAGTTCCGTCCGCCTGTGGTCGAAACAATACTTCCCAGATAGATAGGCAGGTAGTCAGGTAGATAAAGGAGGTTGCTTCTTTCAGACTTTTCCCATTTATGCTGATTGTCGGCTGCTGTTGTTGCTGTCGCTGTTGTCGGGCAGTAATCTTCATCATCATCACATCTATTTCCTCCATGTTCACCTGAAGGCCTATCTTTTGTGGATGCTTCTTCTGCCTACTCGTTGCTTTTCACTTGCATGTCTTCCATTTGTGTGAAATCAGACAATTTATTATCGGCGAAAACGCGATGAAGATCCTACAAGTATTTTTTGCGTGGGTCCATTTTATGGCTGTATCCTTGTTGCCTTTCGTCTGCCTGTCTCATTATCCAGTCTACCGCAATCAGGAAAATCATTGGAAATAGTGGTAGGCAGCCAGCTTGTCTTACATCCGTTTTCATTTCGAAGGATTCCATGAGTTTTGCATTGTGGATTACTTGACATGCTTAGCATTATCGCACAACTGTTGGATGAGGTGTATGGTTGCTTGTGTCACTCCGCAGTAGTGAGGTAGCTTCCCAATAGTAATAATTAATATTATTACCTTTCCCTCATTATTATTATTAAAATTAAAATAATAAGGGAAAGGTACTTAGAATAAATACCTATCCCTCTACGGTCAAGTCAGAAATATGAACTGTGTGCATTCGTAGACAACGGTAGCTCTGACTTAAATACATGAATGAAATAGGCAAAGCCTTTACCATCTATAACGAATAATACAGCCAGCAAGTTAGCATAGATTCGATAGATGATAATCTTCAAAGATCTTGTTAGGATTGATGTAGAATAACACAGAAATCGATCAATATTGCGTTCTAGACATAAAGCTCTTCTCGTTGTCTTCTTTTCTCTTAATGTGAAAAATTTACCTCGTTGAGAAGAAAAACATCAACAACTGTCTATTCCCATTTGGTGAAAAGGCAATATAGCGAAAATATTCATCAAGACATCTAGAAAAAACAAAATCATTGAAAAAAGAATATCCTTTTCGATAATTTCCTCCACCACTGGCTTTAAAATTATGTATACATCTATTTATATACACAGAATATTATTCTAGAATAGTCGTCAATAACAATATTGATGTTTTCTGAATACTGTTGATCTGCTAATTAAGATCACAATGGAATTACAGACAGTTCATTAAAGCTGCATAAACTATAATAAGAAGCATGAATATATAATAGCAAATAGAATATCAAATAAAATTAAGGAAACTTCCACAACAACAAATTAAGGATGATTAGAACCTTCATTGAATGCCAGTGAGGTAAGGAACAACCAACTTCTTTTGGATGCATACATAAGTTAGTCTTCTTAATAAGGATCGCAACACCCAGCCTCAGCATTATCTAGTAGACGAACTCTTATGGTAAGTTAAGATTAGTTGGTTGGTATGCGCGGTAAACGACTTTGAAAGCCACCTACCTTGTTAACATCAATCTTGTGTTGTGTATCCACAAGATGAGTGACATAGAATAGCGACGAATGTGAATGGATTTTGTTCGCTTTATACTTAACTAACCACAATGCAAGATGATGTTTGGAAATCCGACGAGAAACGTGCCTGATTGTGCGGCCTATTCAACTAACTAGATCACTCAACTGCAAGAGCAGTAAAACTGGTAGATGCACACACATACATAGAAGAGAGGAAATTAGGCAGTTTATCCTTTGCTCCCGAATGCAAAATAGGGCGGGGTGGCTTCGAAGACAAAGCATAATTCAGCAGCGGTAGCAGCAGGGAATGCTCTTTTACCGTCGTATTCTTAAGGCGCTGTGTTAATATCTCGCTGATGTTACCATCACCGAGGAACTGTTGGTTGGTACTTTGACCTGCTTGCCTTGATTTTTTGAATCATATTCTTATCAATGAACTTCTCTGGATAGTCGCTTTCACTCAGTAGCAACTGTTTGATATTATTAAGTTCTTCATTAAGGAGACATTCATCCGAACAGATTGTTCTTGCTCTATGGTAAACAAAAGTACTTTATCAGATTGCTCACTATCTATTCTATTTAAATGGATCAACTTCTAAATTAAATAGAGATAAGAAATATGAGTGAAATGAAAACAACCGCTGACAAGTAGTCAACAAGATTAAACATAGTAACAATAGGAGGATGCATCTAATTTCATGATTACGATGAAGGAAGATAAAAGTTATCATGACGACGATGTTGATGACGATGTTGAATGCATTCGATGGTGTACTACATTGTTCACTGCCTCTTACTTTTTATCGC